AGAGTTTGTTTTGAGTAATCTAACGGCATCTGCTTTTTAGAAATCTTTTCTTACTCCATTGGATTGCAGAGCTTAGGCATGTATATTAAAACTTCTCTGTTGTCTTACAGTTAATCTGGATCGCACTGTAGTAAATATATTCCTTTCTAAATCTTCGAACATTAACTTCGAGCTGTTTTTGTATCAAACAGTATCAAGAGAAAATCATTTTTTCTTGTTAGGATCGAATGTTTTATTTTCTCACTGGTTAGATTATTTTCACTTTCGATGCTTCTTTTGCTTTCGATCCTGACAATGGTAGTGTCTTTTACTTGTGAACGGGGGTTCAATCGATTTAGTCGCCAGTGATGGCAGCTTCCTAGAACAAGGCTGATTAATTGAATTGTGTTTTAAATTGAATTATATTGATGGTTGACTCGAAAAATAACTCGAAGTCCAACTTCGACTCTAATCCAATCTCAAGCGGCTTTTACTTAGCACGCCACAATAGCGCTCGGAGGGAATTTGGCCGTTCTTTGTCTTTGATAAACGAAGGAGTATTACATCGTGTTTGTTTAGCCAAAACACATCGCAACTGTTTAAAAATAGGGGAAAATAAGGCATGGCTGGCTTCTTAACCGTTCCGTCGAAAGCGGAATTTTTCCACTCTTATGAAAACCGTTCTTTTTTTTTTAAATTTTTTATTTGCGTTCAATTAATATCGTTTTTCGTTTCGTTCTTCTTTCCTTTCAGCTGATCATGCTCGATATGTGATGCGAATACTGATGCTTGAAAGACTCCAAAGAGTTTGTCATCACAACGACAAAAATAACTCATGCTGTTTTTGATCATAGAAATAGCATCAATGTGATAAAAACTTTGTACTAAAATAACACCCCTAAGGCTACAATGGAAATTTTGCCTCTTTTGATACACGTTGAGGTGAAGAAAAGAACGAATTGTCGAGACGTAACGACACCTTCAGCCAAAACCGAAAAACTCTTAATTTTATAACTACTTGTTTAGAGATGGAGTAAAATTGAAAGAATGTGAACAGGTGAGAAACAGCTGATGCCAACCGATTGTTAAAGTTCGCTAATTGTAACTTTTTTTTTTTAGTAAAATGAAACTCAAACCTAAGCTTACCAGTGTTTATCCGTCGTCTTCTGTCGCATAGTTCGCTCTGTAATGCGGGGAATCGTCGCAATGTCTTTAGTATTTAAGATCAGCGCTTTTCATACCAAGCACGCTCAACAATTAACCCCGTTACTAGTTTCTCATTTATCGATGATGTCATGTGATGATGTTATCCTTATCACATGACCCCTCGTGCAAATCAGATTAGCGACAAAAATGGACCCTTCTATATCACATCACCAAGATCCTGTGCTAAGAAGAAAAAATATCTTAAGAACCTGAAGATTTTAATTGCTGATTTGTATGATCCCTAGGCCCAGTTATCGCCGATATTGGAACGATTTGTTCTCCACTCAAATAGTTCTGAAGCTCTTGAACCTTTCATTATCTGCTTTGGGTACAATGCATTCGGTGGAACTCAATATCGATTTGGCCTTTTTCCAGAAAAGATCGTGCCCTCCAAAGGAGATAAGATAAAATTTGTCAAATTATGTCCACTTCTGGAAAGTTCTTGGTATGTAACTAAAATAACTATAAAAACCATCTGTCTCATGAAACACACAAAATGTTCTCAATTTAAACTGGAAAAATGTCTGTTTACGTACTCAATTAACCTTTTGAAGATAATTTGGTTTTATCAACTGAGTTGATAATGTAATATAACCTGTTTGGATTATTGCACACAGCTTACAGGAGCCGCAACAGTGCACCGGTGTCTTTTTCGAGCCCATTGATTTGTTTTGATTCTTTTGCGAAGTAAAGCATTTGTGACTTTCGTATCATTGTTTATTTATGCACTGTTTTTTTTATTTTTATATGATATTTTGAAAATTCTGAAGGAATTAAGGAAGGGAGGCATTGGGACTTTGGCTACTGCCAATCGGTTTTTCGGTTTATGTGAAAAAAAATGTTTTCGATTTTGGTTCTCATTTTCCGTGTTTCAGAATTTAGTTTTCGGTTTCGTAAAAAATACCAATGGGTATCGGATTTGGTATCCGATTAGGTTTTTCCTATTGGGTTTCGCTTTTTCTTCGATCTGAGCGGCAATTATGTGCCTCCACTGACCTAGCCGCGAAACGCAAATTTTAAGTCAGAGTAACTAGAGAGAGGAATGCGTGACAAACCAAGAATTTGTTTTGCCTAATTCTAAAGAGCTCACAAATTACAGAATATTAAGTTAAGCTGTTATTTTAGAGGGATATAACTCTATAAATTGGCTCAGTTACTGCTGGTCTATTCTAGCTCTCTGAGGCTAATTTGAACCTTCGCGGTTTCATTTATACCATACGATCCAATTTAGTAAAGAAGGGCAAAGAATTATTTCTGTCTGACACACCTTCTCTTTGAGGTGTGCCTTATCAGCCAATGGCCTACTTAAACGTTTACATAAACTTCCCACAAACGTGGTTCTCTCAGCTTTTTTTCCTGTCAGCCAGTAATTACCAAAACTGTATCACAGAAAATAACTAAGTGACAATCCATAGAGTCCCGATTTACGTATAATTTCAGAACCGAACAGATAGTTTGGAATACTTGTACTTCCGTTTACCTTGGCAATTTACTTTACGGCTGAGTTGATAAAACCAAATGATCGAGTTCCTTTACAGTTTAACTAATAAGATTAAAATGTTGACCGCTCAGCCTATTTCTAATGTGTGCGGCTTATTTTACTCAGAAATAAAAAGGCTCGCCATAGAAGGGTGAGTGAAATTGCCTCAATCGTTAGTTGGTCGTTTTGATTTTGTTGGCAAATATAGTTTGCACAGTGCATTGATTATACATGCACCTATCTTGTATACGTAATTATTGACAACGAACTTAGCATGGGTTCTAAGGTGAGCACTTTGTACCGCTTAATTCTGTAAATGCACTACTCGCAGTAATTTTACTGTACCGGAAGTACCTGCATGCTTTAAAAATTATTATAAGTCGGTAAACTCTTCTACTTCGATATCTGTAACGTGTTCAGTTATAAAGTTCAGTTAGCCTTTGGCAATTAAGGAGAGACAGTCTCTTTGTGTCTGAATGACGACCTACGGTTTGGATCTTTCGCACCAGTTCCTGAATCACACAACAGCGCTTATGTTAACGCTGGGCCCGATGTCTGTAAAATGACAGTTATTCTAACCATTTACCACTTTTGATCAGTCTAGATCACATAAATATATGTGACCAGGCTCACAATTGTGCATGACATTGCAATATTTTTTGTTATAATTTTAGAATTACATCTTCAGAAGCTATTTCCTATGATGACCAAATTATCATACACAGAGGATTTGCATCATAAATTACCTTTTGCATCATCACACCTGACTATTTCCTATGATAACCCAATTATCCTACTGACACACAGGATTTGCATCATAAATTTCCTTTAGAATGATCACACCTAACCTCCACAATTTTAGAGAATTTCCTGCTGTTGTTCGATTCCTTGTAAAAGAAGTACAGTTAGTTCGTTTAACTCAGCAGTTCAGAGTGTCAAGATCAGCACTTACAAGCTCAGAACCTCTTGGTCACACAAAAGTAACTCCAGTACATATAACCTCAAGTTAGTGACCTATTTTACTGAGGATTTGCTTGCAATCACCCTTTCTTTTTATCAGTATTATTTCTTTTGTACTTTCCTGTATAAATAAATTTTATTGTGGCTATAAGTCTGTCTCGTCGTTCAAATAACAACATCAGAACCTGCCTTGGTCACGCATACTAAGACACGATTACAAGCAATTCCCAGATTTGAATTTTTGGTTTTCTTACGAAACAATGATTTCTTTTCCGCGGGACAGTTTCCCCGGATTATTTCGTCTCAGAACTAGGAGACGATATGAAATTTCTTTCTTTATATCAGATTTATTTCTTTATTATTCGGTTAAAATAAAGGATGCCTTCAATACTCAACTTGTTGTTCTTGGCATTCCGCAATCCCATTGTTTGTCAAAACATCTGCTCTGTGGTTATTGTTGCAACAAAGAATGACAATACCTCATCAGTTTCGATTTCTCCGGAAAAGAAAAACAGAGAGTTTTGGTATTATGCAATTTATGACCTTTCGCAGGAACTCCTAAAGAAGTTAGCTGTTCCTGTTTGCAAACAGAGTTCCGTTCGGTTACCATTTTTCAGCCGGGTGAAAGAGTTGCTGTATCCTTTCCGACGGCCATGACATCCATTCGAGCGACTTTTCTACCCCGGAAGCGGGAATAGTGGGACGTCATTTTCTCTTGATTGCCCTGACTGCTTGAGA